TTGGACCTATGCCTGCTGGTCCTGGAATGATGACTGGAGGCCCCATGGCAAGCTCACATCGCCCTGACTCTAGTGGATCAAACATGACGAATAGGCTGGCAGGCCCTCCCATAGGTATGCAGATTTGTCTTACAGTCAGAATTAGTTTGTGTTTTGAATCCCATAGCAAGATCTGACACAGTAACAGTTTTAGAATTTCTTAAGTTTGTGAGTGCCAAAGTGTCATTTTGAGAAGGGGGTTTTATATTTGTTTGGAACTCCTCTGCTGTATTTCCTTATCCTCTTATAATTTTCCATCAAAATGACTGTGTTTACTATAGTAAGTATGTGTTATAGTTTTCATATTGCAATTTTCCATACATGAAACTATTTTGTTTTATTATTCTGACAAATTTAAGTCTTACAGGTGGGTATCTTATCCATGTGAAACTTTACTGCTGGTAGAAGGTTTTTACATATTTTTAGTTGAGCAAGATATTTTAATTTTGTAAGTAGGCTAATTATTTGATAGGTTTAAATAACATGCACACACATGAGAGTGATGGCTTGAGTAATAACTAATATTCAGTAACTAAGAATTTTAAAAAGAGTTTCAATCTTTTTTATAATCATCACAAATGAGAATGACACATAAGAATTTTGTAGAGTTATCACTTTTTTGATAAATTGATAGCTCTATTTTTTTTTAGAATTGAAGGTATATTTTGGTTACTTACTTTTTAGTTGGATCATTGTACTGATTTATTATGAATGTTAATGCAAACCAAACTTCATAGCTAACCTGAAAAGTAATTCTTATTTTTGTAATGGTACCATGATCTGCTCTCCAGAACATCATTGCCAGTGAATTTCTTCAAATTTTCAATGAAATGTTTATTTAGTAGTCAGTGCCAATAGATTGTTCATCCGTTCTTCATTGCTCAATTGTTTCCATGAGCGTGTAGTCTGTGTCAGATACATCCTCACATATTTTAAACTGTGAAATTATGTAATCAAAATCAACTACATCCTCTACTTTCCTCATTTATACAAATGCTAATTATTGTGAACAAGAAAGTTTGAAATGTTTACATCTAAGAGCAACAGACAGACCACATTTTTCATGAAGCAAGTTTAAAGTGACTGTCTTCTGTGCTTAACATTATAGTACTCTGACTTCTGTAACCGTGGTTCCACTGTCAATTTTTATTCCATTGACTGCTGTTTGTTTACAGTATCATTTATAATAATTTATGTGAGTATTATTTACAAGTTTGAAAAAACTGCACTAGCAGTTTTGTATAGGAAATATGACTGTTTCAACAAATGTCATCTAATGTTCAGTATCAGAACTTTAAATAACTGTACAATGTCAACATCTCAAAAAGAGGTTAAATGTGGTGATTAGTTTTCGATTAAGAAGGAGGCAAAACTTTTCTCTAGAGTGGAGTATGTTCTTGAATGTAGTTTATGTAGTGGTATTTGAAGATGGAAAACCATGGTTACAGAATTCTCTGTGGATTAAACATGAATCCACAACATCTACCAGAGCGACCGCAGCAGCAATATGGAGCTCCACCAGCATCTGGGGGCATTTACCCACCTGGCCCTCCAGGACCTCAGAATATGGTACCAGCTCCACAAGTCACCCCATCCCCTAATGGTAACATATTTTTAATGTGTGTTTCAGTTCTTACAATAAGTAGGCCAATACGTTTGTTGTGACACATTATTTATTGTAGACTGTATCCTGTTTTATCAAAGTTTCTGTTTCTTACATTAGTTCCCAAAGCTGCCTAATGGTACCAGCACTTATAAAATAGAGCATTTTACAATATAGCATCATTACCGATTATGCTTTTGGCCTCTGGGAGCACATTAACGGCAAAATATTCCTAAACTGTATGCTATTAGGCGTACACACCAAACTTCTTGGACTTTAATCCGAAGCTCATCTAAATAACTTTTGAAAATTCGGTCCGTACCGCAAAGTAAACAACTCATCACCATTACAAAGATCAACTGGTTAATGTTGATAATGGAATAATCGCTGTTTACACTGAGAATCATAAGAACCACATGAATGAAATATGTGGGTAAAACAAAGTTATTGAACGTTAAAGCAGGTGGTACATATAATTACCATTCAGCCTGAAGTGTTGAATAACGGGCCGTACAGAGCAGACACGTTTGATGTGTACCTAAAGACGGCGACACAGCTTTAGAGTGGTATGTAATGTATGTCACTCGGAATGTTTGGAAAGCAAATAAAATATGACGATAATGCATCCTTAATTTCTCAATATTTTCATTGTTTACTATAATAGATACACATCTATTATCATACATTCACTATTGTTCACTGCATCCAGTTTTGATACACTGAACATGCAATTACATTTTAATTCAGTTCATTTTTGGATATTTCCATCTGAAACTTTAAGTTATTTTTCATGTTCACAAAATTCTTGACAACATCAAAATGCAATTTAAGACATTTGCCAGTTTCTCGAATATCGTCCATACTGTCCACAAAACTTTGAGTCACATGGCATATCGATATACTTCCCATATCGTCTTTGTTATCGAAAATCATCTTGTATCGATATTTTGCTGAATTTTCCCTTGGGCCTATATATTGCAGTACTCCATAGAGAGTACCGTTCTTTACTGAGAAATATCGATAGAATATTTCACCGTAAGCGAATATGATGTAGCAGTACCTTCGAGCAGGCTTGATGTCTACCAAGCCAGTCATAAATTTTCCCTTGTATTCGTATGTCCATTCTTTGTGCGAATTTGTGAGATGCTTCTTCAAGTCTTGCAGATTTCCACCCCAAGAACAGTTGACTGCAGGCACCTTGAAAATGTCAAAATAATAAGAGCACCTCAGTTGTAGAAAAACATGAGTGTGTGAACTGAAATATCCTCTTGATTGCCCTCACCCCAAAAAAGTTTGTGTCCATTACATAAAAGGGCGGATTTATAACTTGTGTTGGGCAAGGCCGTGGTCTAGGCAACGCGGAGTTTTCTTCCGTGGCATCCCAACAATTACTCCCTTCACACACAGAAGAAGGCAATGGCAAACCCCTTCTGGATCATCTGCCAAGAACGTATATGAACAGGTCCCAGTCCGAGAAAAGGATGGAAGGATCCTGTTCATATGGACCTGTCGTCAGACAGAACACTAAATAAAAATAATAGCAGAGTTTTATACAGTTATTTACATTGTAGATGAATTTTTAAAAACACTGCATGAATGAAGAGCTAATTTTCCATAAGAGGGCATTGAATGGAAGCTGGAAAACTTTCCAGAAGGTTGGTCCTGTACTTTAGTCACCACTTTTGCATTACATTTCCTTTCTCCCCTATATGTCCCATTTTGTAGTATGTTGATTTTGATATTTTGGATGCAGATTTTTAGGTGGTTGAAAACATTTAAAATGAACATACAACATTCATTTTCATGCAGAAATTATTTTTATATTCTGAAGATGGAGGTGATATGTTCTTCTGAAATGTATGTAGCAACCTACAAGACTACATAACGGTGTATCTTTGTAATGTGCAAGGCTACATTGTGTTATAACCAAGACCACAGTCCTCATTTTTTACTTTCCTGAAAATCTTACAGCTTACGTTACAGTAATTTCACTTTGCTATGTTACAGTGTTTTGTTATTGTGAATGTACGTTTGGTGCATGCGAATCAGAATTTGCTTTCTTGTTATGAAGGACCAGGTTCTCAACCTACTGCACCACAACAACCACCAATAATGCGGCCACCAGCAACATTAGCTCCAAGTCAGTTATCAACTCAGTTATCAGGGATGCATTTAAGTGGACAGTCACGACCACCTGTTCAGATTTCTGTAAGTTATTCCATTGCATATGATTTTAACATTAAGATTCTACTGTAAAGACTAAAATAATGGCTTTTTGAGGGAAAGACCCCCATTTACAGCAAATATTGTGCCTATAACAAAGTTATTGAGTAAGTTAATTGTTTTAAATATAATATATTACATGTGTAAGTGAAAATACCTTTCTAAAAACATTCTGATTTATAGCAGTGTTCAAAACCAATTGTGCTCAAAAGCATGCAAGCTGATAGTTTACAAGACTTAATATGACCCATGGCCCTTATGGAAGGAAGCTTATACTGTTTGAAACTGAGATTAAAGTGAAATCACAGCAACAGAAATAAAATTCATGAGTAAAATGACATAGTGATTTTGTTTGACTGTAAAAGGAATTAAAACATAATGAAGGAATTAAATGTATGGCCAATCATGGAATTTATAGAGATTTACAGTGTTAACTGAAATAACCATGTTGTTTGAATGACCTCTAGAATCCCATTCCAAGTTCTTTGCTACTAACCATATAGGTGAAGGTCTTTGGGGAGACTTCATAAACACTTGCATGAGACACAGGCCACTGTATCTAAGGAACTGAGAATTGATGATTTTTCCAAAAGGAATACTTGTATGTTTGTTATGTTTGTATCAATTTCTTGTTTCTCTATTTTCCTTTTTCACCGATTGCCAATTTTTAATTAAACTGATGTACCATTCTCTCCCTTTTTTCTGTTTTACCTCGTTACTGGATGTTTCAGTGAATTTCTTTGCAATTTGTTCTTAAAATTTTCTTGTAGAGAACAAACTGTTAATAGTCGTACAACAATAAGTGTGCTTATAATTCAGTCATGGAATTGCAGATACAGCCATGTGATTTTGGGAGGTAATTGAGAATGAGAACAAATGTCTGTCATATGGGGCTTTCCTTGGACAAGGCAGCTTTCGTCAAGAAGAGGATACTTCTCACTAGCAAGTTGGGCTTGGAGATGAAGAAGAAACTAGTGAAGTGTTACGTATGGAGCAGAGACTTGGACACTCAGGAAGAAGGAACAGAAATACCTGGAGAGTTTTGAAATGTGGTGTTGGAGAAGAATAGAGAAGATCAGGTGGACGGATCGAGTGACCAACGAAGAAGTATTGAGGAGAGTCAACGAGCAAAGAAACATTCTGCAGGCGATTACACGAAGGAAAGCTAACTGGCTGGGACATATTATGAGAAGGAATGGGTTACTGAGTGATATCATCGAAGGCCAGGTTGAAGGAAAGCGAGGACTGGGAAGAAGACTGATACAGCTAACCGACGATCTGAAACAAGGAAAGAAGATGAAGTTCCAGGAATTAAAACGAGAAGCTGAGAATAGGGAAAACTGGAGAGCTCTGTTTGGGCAGAGCAATGGACCTGTCGTAAGACAGAACACTGAATAATAATGGGGCTTTATATGGAGTTATTCTTAATATTGCATATGCTTTCTCATAGTTATTTATTTGTGATTTAATGGCATTGTGAGTAGCTCAGACAATATATGTCAAATGATAGGACGATAATGAATAATGAACTTCAAAATATCGGGAAGGAAGTGGTTGTGGTCTAATTTAAGGTTACTATTTTGGAATTTGCCTAGAGGGACTGAGGAAAACCATGAAAACCCTCGGTTAGGATTGCAAGAATCTCTGATGATATCAGGAGTGGATTTATGAACTATGTGTCCAAATACAATGGATTTTAACTTGGCCCTCAGGCAAGATGCATTCAAATAAAAACATTAGTTTTATTGCATATGGTACCGTATGTTGTATTTCCATGCGTATTGGTTGTTTAATTATCGTCGCCTCATGAATCATTTTGCTTTGTATTGTACACATTTTTTAGTATACATCTTTGAAAAAGTAGCATATTATTTTATTAGTTCTTATGACAACTTCATATACAGAATTTGAGAATTTATTTTTTCAGAATTATTCTAGTGGACCTCCAACAAAGCCTGGCTTTGGTAGTGAGCCTCTAGTTTCCCCACCAGCAAACTTTTATCATCCTCCAGGCAGCTTTCCACAAGGTATCAATGGAGGTCCTGCACCTCCCACATCATCTCCAGATCAACCTTTTCAGCCCCCTGGACAGCAACAGCATGGGTCCTTGCCACCATCTCAGTATATGAATGGCTCTATGGGTCCTCCACCAGCTCACATACCTGTTCAGGGTGGAAACATACCTGTAGCACACAGGAGTGTGCCTCCAACAGGGGTGCCACCCCAATCTGGAGGTATCCCTACCCAACATAGAGGTATGCTGCCTCCATTTGGAGGTATGCCTCAGTCAGGAACTGTACCACCTCTCACTCAACCAGGTCCACCAACAGGGAAGTCATATCCATCTCTGGTAAGTGATTGTTTTATGTGCAAGAGAGAATTTATGTTCAGTTCTTTGTTCTGTTCGAGTCCTAGAATGAAATACAGGGGCCATAACTGATCGGAAATGGGCAAATCAGAATCCCCAGATTTGTTGCTTCTTGTATACTTGAGGATATGCACTAAGACAAGAAAACTTATCGTTAGTGAACTAGCTGTTTAAATAACTGTTTCAGTATGTATTCTGTATTAATTTTAAAAAGTATAAAAATTGTCTATTTATGATGAGCAAAGAAATACTTTTATTAGGGCTTATGTATACATTCTTTTGCGAAAGAGAATTTGTGTAGGTGAGTGAAGGGAACGTTTACAGGCTGTTACTGGCAGTGGAAGATGATTCTTTCCTCTTTTGTTCAATAAAAAATGAAATGTCTAACTTAAATCACTTTGTATGATACTTACCGATTACTTCCAGACATGGAAATTGTGAAAGGATCTCATATTGGATCCATTATGAATCATTTAAAAATGTCACTCTAAGAAACATGAAATTTTTCAGTGCAAAATTTGCATAGTTATCAATGTGCCTCATAACTGTGTTGTACAAATCAGGAATACACAACCATATTTACTGGGTGGAAATAAGGAGGCTAGTTAAATTTAAGCAAGTTAAAACGTGAAAACAGTGTGAAACACATCATTAATGTTATTTTGTACATCAGAGAGGAACGGGTAACATACCTGTCATTCATGAATGCTGTTATTAGCTGTCTTTATGATGAGATAATTGATACTATTGTGACATCAGAGATATTTGCTTTATATGAGTATGTAACTTGATCTCCCACTCCATGATAAAAACATTGAGGGTGCTGGAGAGAATTTTTGGACATAGGAGAATGGAAGTAACCAGAAGACAGAAAAGTTATGTAGTAACTAGCTTCATAATTTCTATTCTTCAGCAAGTCTTGGAGGATGAAGTATGACAGGGATGTAGCATGCATGGGAGAGCCAATTAGTGCGTATAAGATTTTAATTGTAATACTCGAAGGGAAGAGTCCTTTTGGAAAACGTAGTTTTACGGTGTGGAATATTAAAATAGGTATTAAAGAAATTAGTTGTAATGCTGTGGCCTTGATTGGATGGTGCAGACTGGTATCCAGTGGTGGGCTGTTGTAATCATAGTAAATGAGTAACCTTGAATTTCCAACTGAGAAATTGTCAGCTTCTCAAGAAGGAATCTGCTGTATGGAATTAATTGGATATTTTACCACTAGCTTGATTGTCTTTATGATTGGAACAAGATGTCGTATGAGCCCAGAAGTATTAGTTACGTGTAGGGTTTGTCAGAAACAGTTTTGACGTAAATACGTCTATATTTTAGGGTCAGTGTCATTCGGCAAAAATGTAACTTCATTGTTATGTTACCTTGGAAACATCACCTGTTTATCAACAAATAAACAACAATGGTTACCTTACCTTACCTTACATTACATTACTTTACATTACCTTACCTTACATTACATTACATTTCATTCACAGTAACTAATTCAAGTTAAATAAGCAATGTCTTAATCAAACTTTACTCAATTGTAAAGCAGGTATGACGTATTTACGTCAAATTATCCGGAACCATGGTTCCACTGACAACTTTTTAATCTAGTGAATATTGCAGTATATCTAAACATAGGTAGATCTTCAGGGGTACGTGATGTCCAGCTTCAGTTAAAATTCCATAAATTTAAGAAAATCAGTGTTGTCATAATGTGTTTTTTATTTTACTAAGTGGTGATTGTGCACTGATGCAGGACTCATGTAAAACTATATATGGCATTTTCCACAATTGAATTAATAAAATTTTTCTCAAGGTTAAAGTTTGTCGCAGGTTTCTCAGATTTACAGGGTAATTTCTGATTTTACATCTGTTAATTTCCTGCTCATTTAGTGTTCTTTGTTACTACATTCTCCTTTATCAAGAATGCATTATTTTTTCTATAGGACATGTACCATCCAAATGCTGGGGTCCCACCTAAAATGCAGCAGCCACCCATGGGGCCACAGGGTCCTGCTGCCAGTTACAGATCACCTCATCAGCACATGGGTCCGCAGCAACCACCACATCCATTCATGCAGTCACAACCTGCAAGACTTTTTGTTCCTGAAAATTTGCCAAGTCCTGTAAGTAACTAGAGCCTTCTTATAAGATAATTATACTTACCTTACACTGATCAACAAACTGATTAAAATCTCTATTGCATATCTAATATTTGCTATCTGAATTACTTAGTTACGAGGGGCGTATACAAATGATTTAGACTAAGCTGAATTATGTGATCCTCGATGGTGGTGGCTCCCAGGTTACACTTATTCTCCCTGGAGGTTGACGCACCGTTGCCATCTCTCTGGCAATTTCCTTTTTGCCTCACGAAACCATTGTTTGGGGGTGTCTCGTACCCACTCCCTGACACCATCATGTAAGGCGTCACTATCGGGGAATCGGTGACCACGCGGGGGATTTTTCATCTCACGTAAGAGGGCATAGTCACTTGGTGCCCCTTTCATCCCAGAATACTGTTCCCATCTGTTTCTCAGCAGACTGTGCTGAGTGAAGCCTGTAACCCAATTGAACACAGTTGGACGTGCAGGAGTACCAGCACTACACACAGCCACTAAACGCCTGTGAATATTCCATAAGAACCATGCGGTCCATCTCTGCCCATGGTAGTCGCTCTCCATCGCTTGTCAGACTGGTTACTGTCCTGTGGGACTAAATGGCGCTGCCCGCGGCCCTTCCCAAGACGCTGTAGCGCCATCTCTCGGCCACATGACCGTCAAGGTCAACACTTGGATTACACCAAGGCAGCTGACTGCTTCCACTTGCCGCGTCGAAATCGTAGTTCCAGTCTAATTCATTTGTATACACCCCTCGTATAATGTGTGAAATAAATCTAACTTGTGTTTAAACAAATAACCAACTGTATAATCATTGATTATATTACAGTATTTTTCAGAGCATCTGAACCACTGCCATTATTGTTGTGACTTTTGACGTAAATACGTCTATGAGGAAGGGTCATTCGGCAAAAATGTGTTACGAAAAAGTGTAACTTCATTGTTATGTTACCTAGGAAACGTCATCTGTTTACTTAGCATTGTTGTTACCTAGGAAACGTTACATTACATTAAAATACATTACTTTACATTACATTCAGCTACCACAGACCCATCTTAAGCGTAACCTATTCAAGTTAAATAAGCAAAGTCTTAATCAAACTTTACTCAATTGTAAAGCGGGTATAAAGGAAATATTTAGAATAAAGCCAATATATAATCTTCCTTTCCGTATAGACGTATTTACGTCTAATTTTCCGGAACCGTGCTTCCACTATCACGTTTTATATAGTAAGATATAAATGTCTGTAAACATAAAAGGAAATATATACGATGTTTTCAGGAGAGCTGAAATGTCCTGTAAGAGAAGCAACATTACACAGTTTGCTTTCTATGACCTGTGCTTTTGAATTGTATTAGGAAGCTAATAACATTGCATTCTTGATCTTTTAATTTCAGGTGACGAAAGATGACGAGCACAATGGGGATTTAATTTTTGATATGAATGAGGAGGGGGTCACTACACACTTCAGTACCCGAGATGGAAGCAATGCCAGCCCCAGATACATTCGTAGCTCAATGCACAGTATTCCGAGTAGGATTAATATGATGAAGGAAGTAAGTCTGCCACACAAATATTTTTCTTAATATAGAAACTCATAGGAAGGGTTGATATTATCCAGTCCTAATTATGTTTAAACTGTTCTTATATTTGCTTAGAGGAGATAAGGAACATACAAACCGAAGATGGAAACACAGTCAGGTACTGAATCCATGATTTCTAGAGAATAAAACAATGGTAATGTATTTTATGATGTGCTTACTGTTTTTAGAATTTTCTTTCTTTGGTTTTACAGGTTGCTGTGCCATTTTGTCTTGTAGTGAGTCCTTTAGCTCGAACTTCAGATGAGGACGTTTTGCCACCCGTTATAGACATGGGAAAAATTGGACCTGTTAGGTGCATCAGATGCAAAGCCTTTATGTGTCCATTTATGCAGTTCATTGATGGAGGGAAACGTTTCCGCTGTCCGTTCTGCAAAGCCACTACAGAAGGTAAGGGTCTTGTTGTATACAGATGTAATAAATGGATGAGACAATGCGTAAGGAAAATTATATTTTTAGTAATATTAATTTAACTTACATAAAAAAATATTAATAGAGTATGACCCTTTTATTGTACAAAATTTTAATTTTGTATTCAATATCAGACTTTATACTTTCTTATCTTTTTGCTGAAAGATTTTGCAAAATTGGCACCAAAATTGTAATTGATACATCAGTTTGATTTAATTACAACTACAAATATAATTATAATTGGTTTTTGCTGTGAAACATGAGTATTAAGGATTTATTATGATTTGGCAAACTGCTTAGCAATATGACACTGAAGAATACAGAGTCAGCCATCAGAAATCTGAAATTGGTTGGATATCAGATGAAATAAACAAGGAACAAATGAAATAAGATCTCATGCAGTGTGATACTGAAAGAATTTGAATGAAAGTTATTGTTTTTATAATTCTTGACAGTGCCTCAAGAGTACTTCCAGCAATTAGATGACACAGGTCTGCGGGTGGATCAGTTTCAGAGACCAGAGTTGAACCAGGGAGCATATGAATTTGTTGCCACAAAAGATTACTGTAGGGTAAGTTGACTGTTGGCCTTCAGTGCTAAGTCACACTTTCCTTAAGAAATGGTTTTATGTTGTATCACATAGTTGATGTTTCTGAAAATTCTAGTGTTTTTAGGTTAGATGCATAAATATCTAATTTAAAGTCTAATTTTTAGAATAAACTGATTTTTGTTTTTTGACTGCGTTATTAACATCAGTGGTAGGTGAAATGTGATGCTAACCCTCAACTCCCAACTAGTGCCAAGGTTAAGAATCTATTGCATAAAGCTATATCTCTGTTCTCCTAGGAATCTTCATGACAAGCATTTAACTTAAGCTTAGAAGAAAAATTTTCAGGAGGCAACGCGTTGGCTCGGTACATCAGTTGCACGCAAATTGCCAGGCATTTGTTTCAAAACAGAAACCACATGAAATCAAAAGTTACTGTCGAGCAAATGATCAAAACGAAGCTCTATAGTGAGACTCTTAGAATTTTTCACAACAAAATGTATTTTGTGTGATACTCTAAATAGCGAGTATTCTTTAAATAACATTAACCAATTGATCTTTGTAATGGATACGTGTTGTGTCTTTTTAGATAGAGTTAAACTCCTTTTAATATTATTTAAACGATCTTTGGCTTCAGGGGTTTAATTCTGACAGCTGATTTCTACACGATGACAAGGATCTAGGCAGTTACTCAAAATAATATTTTGTTACGTTGCACTAAACAACAATTGTAAGAAATTAAAATCTATTCAGTACTTAATCAAAGACACCTCAGTATAAGTAAGGTGTGTTAGCAGGAACAATTAATTAACAAATTCTTAATTTATTTATTTATTTCTGTGTAGGTTCTGGTGACGTAACATTTGTCGTTATAACCGCAAAGTATCGTACCGTCGTTATATGTGTTACAGTTAACATACAGATCAGTAATCACACGGAATTGGTAGCTATGCTTATGACCTGTCGCCGCTCAAAGGTGTACATAACTAGTCACAGTAATAAGCCTTCTTCTTACTACCAAACGCTGAACTGCCGCCATGGCACGAAGTATGACCTCTACATAACCTTCATATTTTTCGAATATCTAGTAGTACAACCTACAAAAAACTCATATTGAATCGACCAAATATCATATCAGACTTCTATTTTAAGACGGCTGCCGTGTTAAAATTTTATTCATACATATATTTATTCTTCAAGTCTATACACAAACTATATTAATATTGATGTTAAAAATTAAAATTGATATAAATATTTCGCGCTATTCATCGTTTCCTCGATGTTACAATTTGCGCTATATATTACAACATGTTTCGATGTCTCAGCATCATCTTCAGGTTTTATTTTTAAAACTATTCAATATTTTTTATGCACGCTTTTCGGTATTTGTAGATTGTAGGTTGTAGTTGTGGATGTTCCTTTTATCTTCTGATTCTTTTGCATATTATGTGGCGTATTATGTTATTTGTTCATTATTTCAGGAGTTTGATGTGTCGTGTGTCCTCGGCTGGTCAGGTCTGATCAGGGGACTGACATTCATATAAAAACAGTGTGGCGTCAGAGACTTTTTTGTCTTGTTTCAGAACAAGACATTGCCAAAACCTCCAGCACTCATCTTTTTGATTGATGTGTCTTATAATAACATCATATCTGGACTGGTTCATCTTCTTCATAACCAAATAAAGGAAATTTTGAAATTATTACCCAAGGATGAAGGAGCTGAAACATCTAATATGAGGGTCGGTTTTATAACCTATAGTAAGGAAGTGTTTTTGTACAGTTTTAAGGTAAGGGATGTAATCTGTAAAAATTTCATTAGTTGCAAGATTAGTTTATTGACATACTCTTTATGTTAAAATTTGTTGTCATTGGACATTTCCAGTCTTGCGTGTTATTCTGCAGAGCTAATTTCCGCTCCTCCCTCAACTTTTCCAATTTTTTTAGTCTTTTGTCCGTTCTGAAGATGGCTATCTTCTGGGTTGTTGCTTATTGTAGTCTGGTAGAAGTTACTAGTGTTTCAGAGGTGCTTTCTGCCTCTGTCGTCAGGGTGATTCCTGCCATGATAGAGGCAGCAAACTCCTCTGGAACATAAGTAAACTTTTACCAGACTATGGCGCAACATCCTACTTTCCATAATGAGAAATGAAATCTCACTCAGTCTGTTCTGTTCTCTAATTTTCAACTGCTGTATCCGTGGTCTCCGCTAGGTTGTCTTGAGATTATGAAATTATATTGGAAGATCAAATCCATTGTTTATTGACTTTACACTTGGTATATATAGTGATCATACTATAAATATGGTATTGTAAATGCGTCATATTGTGATTCATAAGTATTAAAATATATTAATATAATATATCGTGTAAGTTCCTATTGTAAGCGAGTACTCGATGGGGAACGTTAAATGATGTTTTAATCTTTTAACATTATTATATTTGTGATTGACGGCAAAATTTTTAATATATTTTAATATAAATATGGTATTCCCACTGTATGTATTTCGTGCGCTAGTGTCTGTTGTTGAATGTGTAAATTTTGATCGGAAGGCCTGAAGAGAAGAAACCACTTGGAAGATATAGGTATAGATGGAAGGATAATATTAAACTTGATATTGGGGAAATATGGTTGGAGTGTGTATTGTACTTATCTGGCTCAGTGTCGGGACTAGTGGTGGGCTCTTGTAAACGAGGTAATGAACCTTCGGTTTACTGTTTGTTCTGAGAATCATATGAAACCCATAAATATGCTCTTGTGTACAGAATGCAGAGGCATTGAATGTTGAAGCAGGTTGTATGTGCCCTGTAATTTCAACTGGACTCTATAGGGTTAAAGTGATCATTCATCACGTGCACTACAACCCAGATCGGGTCTTGGCTTCCGCTAGAAATCTCCTCCACCTTATGAATCTTCAGTTTACTGCAGCGTTAATGCTCTGGTACTATTGAAATTGGATGTTAAATTGAGATATATTATATGGGGATTTCACATTGTAATTTATGTAACTTTTACGTTTTATTCCATTTTGCTTGTGTCAGTACAGTGAAACCTCTATGTATCGTTCCCCGAACTATCGTTTTCGCGGATGCATCGTCTGTTTTGTTAGGTCCCTGATACGTCCCATATAAAATAATGTCACATTTTCCCGCTTCTATCGTTTTATCGCATCAATCGTTCAAAAATCTTAGTCTGGTCCACAATTTTCCCGCAATGATCGTTTCTGAGAAATTATAATGAAATTTACGCAATGTTTTTAGAATTTAAAACGATCGCTTTAGAGATAAATTAATATGGAAGGACGCACAGCGAACTTCCCACATGTACGGCCGACACCACGGCACGGAAACGGGGTGGAGGGGGAAGACGACGAATACGAGCCCGAAGCTGTGCCGAGTTTTGCCGAAGCACATGCTATATTGAGGAAAAAGTGAATTCGTTCTTTTACGAGTACAATATTGTTGAAGGTGATGAGGAAAACGTTTTGAACATGGAAAGGGCTCTGTTTCGCCTAAAACGTAAAGTTAAACATTAAAGACTTTTTTTGGCAAAAAGAAGTAACTTTGAAACAGGTTTTATGTGTATTGTTTTATGTATGCAAAAGAGAAAAATGCACTATTTTAATGTTTTCTAATGCTTTCCCGCATCTATCGTTTTCCCATATTCATCGTTTTTATTTCCCACCCCCTCCAAAAACGATACATCGAGGTTTCATTGTGTTATCAAATTTTTAATAGCATCGTGTACTTAGTATTGTTATGTGTTAGTATTCACTTATATTGGAAATATTACTTACTGCTTTAAGACATATTTTTCTCTCATTTCTGTATTTTTTCATGAATTTGGTACATCCAGCAACACTATTACTTGCTTTAACTAGATATATTCAGCATATTTATTGCAAGATATTGTAGATGCGTCATATTGTGATTTAAATATTTATATTGTTTCTTCATTCGTTGTAGTATCACAGGTCACTAATATGTTTGTATTTCGTATTTCGTAGTGATGTCAATGTTTTGTATATGGACTGTGAAGTAAAGGTTTCAAACTATTAATGAAAATTGAATATAGAAAACAAAATAAATAGTTGAAATTAATCATGTGAACTTACCCAAGAAGTAATATCGTATCAGTATTATGTAAATTATGTAAATCGAGTACTCGATAGGGAACGTAAAATGATATTTTAATCTTTTAATCATATTATATTGTGATTGACGGCTAATTTTAATATATATTTTTAATATTTATTGCAGTTTTTTCTCAGTCTTTCATTATGGTTATGTTGTACAACATTTTCAATGAAAACATTTTAAATTCACTTTTTTTTCAGACTTCTTTTCCTTGCCCAATGGTGATGTGGGGTGATGTAGAGAAGAATTCTGTGTCTATGCCGGAGGTTTTCCTATGTGATGCCGCAGAATCTGAGGCAGCGATTAAGAACCTGATGAAATATATATTCACCTTATATGATGACACCACTGAGACAGAAACAGTACTGGCACCAGCAATCCAGACTGGTCTTAGAGCTCTCCAGGTATAGTACTGACAGGTGCTTAATACACACTGCTCAGTTTACCAGTATTTAATAATTTTAGAGGCCTTACAATACAGGTTTCTGACATTAGTATAACTATTAGAAGAAATCGAGCTTTTTGTAAGAAAAGAATTATCAAAGTTCATATACGAGGTGCGATCGGAAAGTTTCCAGACTGTGTCAATAGCGGGCGATGAATCGGTGTGCCAGCCGGCATCATCGAATTAGCATTTGTTTCTTAGTTACGGGCGTTTTGGTAGTGCATTACACCGACCCTCCTGCGCTTTCGGAATGGCGTGTGCATCAAATTTTGCCAAAGACTCGCCAAAACGGCTACGGAAACCTGTGAAATGCTAAAGCAAGCATTTGGGGAGTCCGCAATGGGTCGTGCACAAACTTTTGTGTGGCATTCACGTTTTAAAAATGGCCGGCCGAACCTCTGTCGATGATGACGAGCGTTCTGGACGACCATCTTCGAGCACAACGCCCGAAACTGTTACGAAGATCGACGTCGTACCATCACTTGTACGACTTGTGCGACATTGTTGGGATAGGCTATGGGACCTGTCAGCTGATTCTAAAGGAAGAACTCCACATGCGACGCATCGCAGCCAAGTTTGTGCCAAGGTTCCTGTCTGAGGACCAGAAGCAGAATCGCCTTGACTTCTCGTTTGTCAGGAGCTGAAAGATCTTGCAAGAACCGACCCCAGCTTCCTTTCTAAGCTCCGTGTGACTTCTTCCTCTTCCCAAAGAAGAAAATTCAGGTAAAGGGAAGGAGATTTGAGACGATAGAAGAGATTCAGGCAGAATCGCAGATGGTGCTTGACAGGCTGACAAAGAAAGATTTCCAGGGATGCTTCCAGGCTTGGCAGCGGCGCTGGGATCGTTGTGTTCACTCCCAGGGGAACTGCTTCGAGGGTGATGGATGAATTTAATACCTGAGATAAGTGTACGGGTTTTTATACGCGCAGTCTTGAAACTTTCCGATCGCACCTCGTACCTTTTTAATAAAGGAATTTATTTGTTGTTGTTATTTGAATTCGTGCATGTTAGAAGGATCTTTCAGTTGTGATATTCTATAAAATATTGGTAATTTCTTGATTAGTTGAGTAACTATCAGTTCCATGGAGCTAGTTAATTTTTAATTAAAGTACTTATTTGTAAGTAAAAAGTGTGTCAGTGGAATTTTAATTTAAGTTGTGGAAAAGAAAGGAAGGTTTTACAAAAAGCATATTTCATGTAATGGTTTGATGATTGTTAAAATAAAAGATGTGTACTTTGGCAGCCATCAAATTCAGGTATGGAAATAAGGTGATGATATGAGCAGCTGTGGCATGTAAAAATAAAGAAAGTTGTTTTATCAAATTGTTTTTGCCTCCATATTTGTGAGCATTGTAATATACTTTTTAAGATATAATTAATCAAAGCCATGTATGCAAGTGTAGTTCAGTAATTTTTAGGTGTAATTGAGTTGGAAAACCATGGACAGCTTTAACAGTGTAATCTAGTTTCTTATTAATCTTGTGCAAACTTGGTAGTAATTTTATGTGGTGCAATTTTTACGCAGGCCTCAAAATGTGCTGGAAAGCTGTTGGTATTCCATTCTTCTTTACCAACAGCCGAAGCTCCAGGAAAACTCAAAAACCGGGACGACAAGAAACTACTTGGCACAGAAAAGGAAAAAAAATTGTTAGGTAAATTCCAATTATGTAATATTTTTTGTCTCTTCTTTTATGCCCTCCACTGTCATTGCCACACAGACTATTTGGTATTTCGCAAGACTTATAATGTGACACCATGGAGGATAATATTAGAATAAATGTGTGATGTCGTATCCCTTCATTTTTAAAAATTAAATTTAATGATAAAATAAAAATTATTCAGTACTTGTTTCTTCTATTACACTAAATTTTGTGTGTTATGTAAGTTGTGTATTTATTTGTAGTTAATAAGATTATGTAAGATTATTTATTTTAATCCGTCTTATCACAATATTTAAAATTTCTTATAATTAAGATAATAAAATAGCATTGATGTTCCATATCAATTGATCGATTTACATTTTGGAACATCCTTTACACAACATGTTTCAGTTTTTATCAGGTGTAAAATATTTACGAACTTAAAACTCAAATATGATTCCATTTGGTGATGTTTCATGCCATTTGTTTTTCAATTTTGGGCGAGGTGTTGTCTTTTCTTAAATTTTATCAGATGTACATATCGGTCTGTAAGTAGAAGATTGAAAGAAACACTAAAGAATTTGAAAGAATTTATAAAAGAATTTAGAGAATAAAATGCAAAATATATAAATTATAGTTAGAAAGTAGCAGTAAGATATAAATAAAAATAATATAAAATAAAAGTAAATCTAAAATAAAACATACCCTAGATGTAGGAGTGATTGTTCCGATATGTCAGACTATCCTTTCATTTTCAAAACTTCAATTTAATGATAAAATAAAAATTATTCAGTACTTGTTTCTTCTACTATACTAAGTTTTGTGTGTTATGTGAGATGTGTATTTATTTGTAGTTAATAACACTGTGTTCAGTCATTCAAACTGTATAGCATCAAATGAGGGGATAGTAGTGAGTAATGAATTGGAAAGTATGTGGAAGGAAGCAGTCAGGCCTAATTTGAGGTACTATCCCAGCATTTCCCTTAAGGGATTGAGGAAAATAATAGAAAACCTTGCTGAAGAGAGCTGGTCTCAGGGCTGAGATTTGAACCTGGGATCTCTCAAATATGAAGTGGGAGCACCAACCACTTGATCATGATGTTCAATCCCATTTCTGTATCTGTATGTTTTTGACAGTACATGTTGGAAAGGTACGAGTACAACAAGTTCCATGTGTGTAATTTCAGTTAAGCTCACCAGTGTCATATGAAGGTCTTTGTAAAAGGACAAGGAATCCTTTGCTAATTCTGTTGTTTGGTAAAGCGTCCTGCTACACGCCTATGCAGGCACTTGGGAGGAGCGGAGGTATAGCTCCTACTCTTTCTTGACCTCAGCACCAGATGTGGGTGAGTGGTCAGCATCACGGCCCAGCCGTGCTTTACCCCTGGGAAAGGACTCCGGTACCCATTGGACAGGAAGCTGGGGGGGCCCCAG